GGCTGTATCACAACCGGCTGTGATTGGGAGTCCCATAGGGCGGCGCACAATTGGCCCAGCGTCGTCCGGGTTTGGCCGGTGTAGGCCGTCGTTGTAAATAAGAATTTGTTCTTAACTGACTTGCCTAGTTAAAAAAATGAAAAATCATACGTAATTGATGACTTTTTGCACAACCTTTGGGGACCCGCTTTGGATCATGAGCGCTACTTTCAAAACTACTGGATTAAATTATACAAAACATCTGTAACATCACTTTAACGGATGTGTGTGCCATTCTACATGTGAGTTTTTCTAAGAGAAGAACATACAATCTTATATTTTTAAGCAGATTATGTTTAATCAACAGTGAGAATATTTAGAATATCATACAGTCCACTTTGGCACCAATAGTTCAATAAATAAACATGTTCCTCTTTTTCGAGGATGCTATCTAAATAAATAAACCATAACTTATTCTCCAATAAATATACATTATCTATAATACAGATGCATTGCATCAACTTTACTGCAGTTGGTCAACGTAGTCCAACAATGCCAGAGCTGTAGGTTGTTGTTTATCATTTCCCAAACATTCTCTTCCTATTTTGAGAGAACATTCAAGGGAGGCCAAGAGAGGAAACAAAGGAATCCTGAGGGAATTTCAACCCAGAGATATATTATAACGCTGAGTAGTCTTAGTAAATTGTGATGGCAAATATAGGGGTTATGAAAATATATAATGACAAATACATATAATCAACATTAAGACAGCAATTTGTTTTCTAGTTGCTCTTTTCTCTTAAATTGTCATCCAATTGAACAGGCAAAACTAAATTGCATATCTTATTAGTCCTTCAAAAAAAGCATTATTTGATTGAGATGTCCTCAACAACGTGGAGCATTTGTAACATGCCAGAGATATGCTCCTTTCTATACATGCAAGGTGGAGTCAAAAGCCAGTTCATTTTAGTGCACAAACCTATTAATGGTTCTCACTATATAGCATCATGTCACCTCAAGCTCTAGGCATAATTATCCTCAATCTAGCAGCAGCTACAGCTAACCTGGATAGCGACTGTCTGTGTTCTGATTGTTCAGAGAGTGTGGAATCCTTTGGGTTTTAAGCACATTTAGACTTGAGGGTATTATGGTCCCGGGCTGGGGAGGCCTGTTTTCTTGGTTTAATGCCAGCATGGGCCTTTAATTACCTGTCTGCTCTAATTATTTGATTGGTCTTAACTTAAAGAGTGACTGCCTTTCAAAAGCAAAGAATCCCTTTGAAAATGGCCTATGTGGCCTCGATATGAGTCAGAAACAGTTATGCTAGTGTCAGAATTGACTACAAAGTGTAAATAGGATAATTTTGGTCATAAAGTCAGTCTCATCTAAAATTGAGTTTGTAACATATGTGCGTCACAATGGGTAAATTAAGGTTTGGTTTTGATTTGACAATGTCCATTTGCCCACTAACATGGGGTGAACAGCTGCGGTGATTGCTCTCTATCCAATAGCATAGACAGTGAGACAGACCTGCCCAGCAGCTCCGATTTTATTTACATTAAACAACACGTCACGCATTTCTTTACTTGAGAGATACTGCGCCAAACACACTTAGTTAAATTGCGCAACTAAAACATCCACGTCCAAAAACGCGATTTTGAGGAAGTGAAATAGGAAGTGAAATCTACAGTGTCTCATGGCGGACACACATCATTAACCAAACGCAGAATCGGTCAGGAAACACACCTCCAAGATTGAAATCTCGTTTTTCTAATGAGCAACAGAAAAACACACTTGCCAATCGGCGTGTTCAGTGGCTCTTGAAGAGGTATTCCCACTGGTTTCAGACTATTCCATTTAAACCTAACTGTACCTTACACTATACTGTAGATGCTCAGGTAAAATCTATAATTTGGATGAAGTTAACATTTCGATGTAGCCCTCATCCTAAAATGATTTGTTCACAGTTTTCAAGATTGAGAGATTATGTCTGAACTGATGTCATTAGAGTTTATTTTTTTGTCTTGCTCTTGAACTTTTCCAAGGTGTGTTATTTTAAGCTTATTATATGTATATTTGGCCACAATTAATCTAATGAATGATTTCCATTTTGTTTTCAGAAAATAACTCTGTTTGATTAAACACATATCAACACATATTGCTGTTCAAACATGTTCTGGTAACTTTTACATTACATGTGTGGTTAAAATCAATGGCTTGTCCTGTACAGTCGTGGTCAAAAGTTTTGAGAATGAAATATTAATTTTCCCAAAGTCTGCTGCCTCAGTTTTTATGATGGCAATTTGCATATACTCCAGAATGTTATGAAGAGTGATCAGATTAATTGCAATTAAGTCCCTCTTTGCCATGAAAATGAACTTAATCCCCCAAAAACTTTTCCACTGCATTTCAGCACTGCCACAAAAGGACCAGCTGACATCATATCAGTGATTCTCTCGTTAACACAGGTGAGAGTGTTGACGAGGACAAGGCTGGAGATCACTCTGTCATGCTGATTGAGTTAGAATAACAGACTGGAAGCTTTAAAAGGAGGGTGGTGCTTGAAATCATTGTTCTTCCTCTGTTAACCGTGGTTACCTGCAAGTAAACACGTGCCGTCATCATTGCTTTGCACAAAAAGGGCTTCACAGGCAAGGATATTGCTGCTAGTAAGATTGCACCTAAATCAACCATTTATCGGATCATCAAGAACTTCAAGGAGAGAGGTTCAATTGTTGTGAAGAAGGCTTCAGGGCGCCCAAGAAAGTCCAGCAAGTGCCAGGACCGTCTCCTAAAGTTGATTCAGCTGCGGGATCGGGGCACCACCAGTGCAGAGCTTGCTCAGGAATGGCAGCAGGCAGGTGTGAGTGCATCTGCACGCACAGTGAGGCGAATACTTTTGGAGGATGGCCTGGTGTCAACAAGGGCAGCGAGGAAGTCACTTCTCTCCAGGAAAAACATCAGGGACAGACTGATATTCTGCAAAAGGTACAGGGATTGGACTGCTGAGGACTGGGGTAAAGTCATTTTCTCTGATGAATCCCCTTTCCGATTGATTGGGGCATCCGGAAAAAGCTTGTCCGGAGAAGACAAGGTGAGCGCTACCATCAGTCCTGTGTCATGCCAACAGTAAAGCATCCTGAGACCATTCATGTGTGGGGTTGCTTCTCAGCCAAGGGAGTGGGCTCATTCACAATTTTGCCTAAGAACACAGCCATGAATAAAGAATGGTACCAACACATCCTCTGAGAGCAACTTCTCCCAACCATCCAAGAACAGTTTGGTGACGAACAATGCCTTTTCCAGCATGATGGAGCACCTTGCCACAAGGCAAAAGTGATAACTAAGTGGCTCGGGGAACAAAACATCAACATTTTGGGTCCATGGCCAGGAAACTCCCCAGACCTTAATCCCATTGAGAACTTGTGGTCAATCCTCAAGAGGCGGGTGAACAAACAAAAACCCACAAATTCTGACAAACTCCAAGCATTGATTATGCAAGAATGGGCTGCCATCAGTCAGGATGTGGCCCAGAAGTTAATTGACAGAATGCCAGGACGGATTGCAGAGGTCTTGAAAAAGATGGGTCAACACTGCAAATATTGACTCTTTGCATAAACGTAATGTAATTGTCAATAAAAGCCTTTGACACTTATGGAATGCTTGTAATTATACTTCAGTATAACATAGTAACATCTGACAAAAATATCTAAAAACACTGAAGCAGCAAACTTTGTGAAGACCAATACTTGTGTCATTCTCAAAACTTTTGACCACGACTGTACATCTCCAGTGTTCTAGTGACAGAAAATAGCTGTTAGTGCTGCATGGTGGCATGCATTTCTCTCTCATTTCTCCCTTTCTCAGTGCTTTTGGCCAAGTCAGTTATAAAGGAGGTAAGTGGATTAAGGTCAGTCAGTCTATTGCGGGATTTGCACAAATGGTATGGATTTGCAGAGGCTAATTCAGGGTGAAACTGAAGCACAATCCCTCTTGCAGTCACATTTACAATGCAGCAGTCACCCATTTAATGCATCACTCTGTCTAGATGATCAAACAAGACTGCATTGCTGTATTACCATTTAAGTTATATTTCATGAGCTCACAGTGATCTTGCTGTAGAAGGATAGGGATTTTTGATAGCATATTGTTTTTCTGTTGGATTGTTCTTTCCGGGAACAGGCTTATACAGCTATAGCCATTCCATTTGATTAACAAGCTGCTGTCATTAAGCCTAAATCACCCATACAGTCTCTATTTAGCATGCATGCAACAGGGATGTGGCTGTAGCTAGTTATTTTTTTTATTTTTTTACCCTTCAGCTTCATATGCCAGTATAGGCCATTCATGTATTTACTATCACCTATTACTAAAACATCTCCTTTTAGTCTGGTCCTAGTGATGAATACAGAGGAAGCAGTTGAAGAACATGAACGTGTGTTTTTATATCGGGTGTTGTCCATTATCGTTCAACATAAATGAGGTAGATTTTGATAGTTACTGATGAAGGCTGGAGATTTCATAATTTAGTTCATTACCTGTGATATGAAGGAGTGCCTACACACATAATATAATTGGTGAAGCCTGCTGTACATGTTTCTCCAAGCCTGTAGTCTTTCCTAGTACTGTTGTTGCTGCTCCATTGGACTTCCCTTAGTGATACCTCATGCGTCATCAATGGTGCGGATCAAGAAGTTGTGGAGAAGCACACTGTGGTAGCTTCATGTTGGTTTCATCCTTTTGTATACTGTACATGTCGTCCTTGGCATTCCCTATCTTATTCTAGTATTTTCCATGTACACACTTCTACACACTAATTTCTGAAAAAATAAACCAGGCCTCTTACAAGTGTGGTATCAGAACAGACTTGCAATGTAGCATGCACTAGTTATACCTCAGCTGGTCTTTTGTAATGGTAGTGGAGCCGTTGCTACATAGTCCACAATCAAGCAACAAATCATTGCTTTAACTGTGATTGCCCCATGATGACAAATGTATAATCCTAGGACATACAATGTATAAACCAACAGAGAAATATCCCATGAAAGGCAAAGAAAGCAAAACAAACGTTTGCTGTTGTCTTTTGAAAACGAACACAAAATTAACAGATGGTAGAATAGATGGTAGATTCAAATGTCTGTATTCCCTGGCATAATACCGTAGGGATCAATTCTTGTGCACTCCTGTTTTTGTTTGTTTTTGTAGCAGTAGTTGTTGCATTTCCCATGTTCAATACAGTATCTGGGAAGTCAAAATGGCCGCCATCGAGGCGTTATACACAACCGCACGTCAGAGCAGAAAACTCATTGAGCGTCTTGTATCTGTTACTGTTGTCCAAGAAGGAAATGTCATCGTACTCCTTGGGCCGGCAACAGGGGCTCCTCTCCCTCTTTGAGATGCCTTTCCTTGTCCATTTCTTCAGTATGACATCGTAGTTTCGTCGGCTAGCATTACAGTTCCCGCTGCAGTACCTGAAGAGCAGCGTTTCGTCGCTGTGGTAGCCCAGACCCAGCTCACTGACAGTCACTTCCACCTCCCGCAGGGAACATGGCTTTGATGCTTTCTTAGCCCGTTTAGTCCTTTTGCTCTGCCTGGCCTCCTGCTGTGCCTTCTTCTCCACCAGAGTCCCGATCACCTGCTTCAGCTCCCCCTCTGTAAAACCCTGGAACATGTACATGACTGCAGAGAAGAGATGAAGAGGTGTTAGGCCAAAGGAAGATACAACGATGAGAACCATACAATACATCTGTTGTAGCTAAAGCATGGACTGTGATACAATGAAGAGCTTTGAATGTCTGTGAAATCCCAGTCTCAATCATTATGTCAGTTTGGAAAATAAAAAGATAAAAGATCCATACAGTTGCTGGTACAAGTTTTCAAATGCTAGAAATGTGATAAGCTAACAGCCTTTAAAAACAGCTACATCACCTATACCTGTGAAATGTACTGGGACATACAGTGTAACGCTAGCTTTAGACTTTCCTTGATCCAGTTTGTAGAGATTCACTGCAAACAATTGAAACATTTGAATCCTTTTGACCTGCATGGATCATTGGCTTGGTGAACAATAAGTTCTCTAGAATCAGGCTATCATCAACGACCGGTGTGTCTAAACTAACAGATTTTTTTCTAAGTGATGTTTCAAAAACTGATAGTCTAAGGACTTTTTCATAGTTGACAAAGTATCTCTCATACTGTACATGCACACCTACATTGGCAGTGACATGAGCCTTTTCCAATGTTAACAGTCAGTTGTGCAAATATTGGGCTTGGGTTTATCGCCAGTCCAGCTGCTAGCTATGTACTTGACAGAGAAAGTAGACAATATTTTCTGCTGAGTCTATAGAAATAGAATATCCCCTTTCAGACCATGGCAATTTGTCGGGTACACCTGTGGCTGAGTCTTTGTGTAAACAAGGTAGAGCAACTTGGCAAATATAGTTCAACACGTTAAACATCAGCACATTTACACATTAGGAGTCAATTAACTTCTTCCCCATGTCCAATGCATTTGGACACCTGATCCAGAACCTCATGCCATAGCGATTACCAAATACCAAAACCATTCTGCCAAAACATGAGGTAAAACTTCATAGAACCTGTAAATATATATGGGCATGTCCAATAACAAATCCCTGGGAATTGATTTACTTTTGTGTTCAATGGGCCTGTAGAGATCACATAATTGTTGTGTGTTGACAGCATCAAGGGTACAGACAAACAACACCTTTTTATTAATTGAGAGTGATTCCATACACATGGTCATACTCAAGGTTTATACAAACAGAAGCATATGCATATGCATATCAATTAAAGGAGCATCTGCAGTTTAAGCTGAGGGATGGGGCAGGAGAACTGTAACCACTCTCAAATTCATAGACAGAGCTATGGAGGCAAGGACTTTACCATCCATGAGATCAAGATTAGATTTAGCCATGTTTTGAGGCTATACAGTGTTTGTTTAGAACTACATTATTTACAAACGATGGAGTAAAATATGCTTATATTTGGGGTTCTGATGGGATACGACAGTTGAACTAAGCTCATGAGGCATTTATAAGTTATATTCTTCAAGAATCAATGGTTATATATCATTAATTTAAAAGTCAAAAAATTGATGTAGCAATCGCAGGTTGCCCCTTTAATTATGTTTTCAGGTATTTACTTCACAAGATAATTAGACATCATAAAAAATTATGCTCCTCTGTCTGACAATTCTGTTCTACTATGCCCCTTAGGCTCACCATACTGTTCTAAAGTTAGATAGAGCTGTAATTAACAGTTCATTCTATCCCCTCCAGGACACAACCTTTACTTAAAAGGCTTTTGAAACACCAGGGGGCTTGTTAAATACTAAACCCTACAAGCTCAGACACTCAAAACAACATGTAATAGCCCTGCTTTAGCCTGCCGCACTGACTGACACTGTAATCAATGGTGGTCTTGAAGCAACGACACTTTGCTGTTCTTTGCATTCACAAATTAAACTGAAAAAGGCCTTCCCAAAGTGATTTCTTCCCAAATGGTTTGCGATTCAGTCATTTGTTTCGTGTGAAGAGCTCCCCATGGCCTGGCAGTAGCATGACAGATTAGGTGATTAGGCTACGTGATTAGGCTAGCTGATCTTACTCTTGACTTGGCCTAGAAAATCTCTACTGGATGATCTGAATAATGGTTTGAGAGTCACACTCTGAGTCCGGACCAGCAAAAGGACACTGTATAGACATTTTCGGTCTAGTAAAAATGACTTTAGAGAAATCCGCTCAGTTTTACGGCCAACTTTGTGGTAGTTTAAAAATAGAATGCCCATCAGCGAATGAGAGATAACAAGAACCGACAGTAATGCCCAGCCCAAAGCCAAAGGGACAGTGTGTAAGGACAGTGTCTTAACACAAGGCCAGGTGGCTCTTCAACCACATGGTGAGGGATGTCACATTTCTAGCCTCCACTGACCCACTTAGTGGGACTCTCTCTGAAAATGTTCTTATTCCCATCCTAATGGACAAACTCAGAGACCATCACTGACATTTTACATCTCTGAATCTTTTATGACACCTTTTCTTATGAATACTGCATAGCCTCTAAAACCATATCAGGAGGTTACAGGCGTTTTATCACACTCATTGTGCAAATTCTCCTGGTATGATGAGATGAAGCTACAAACCTTAATGGAGTAATCTGCTCCCCGGATGTCACATCATTTGATTTGATTACCCTGCCTGGCTGTAAGCTGCAGATGGTTGCTATGCTCTGTCTGTGAAGGTATGCTAGCTTTATCTGTACATGTAAACTAATAATGGCCCTCAGACAAAGACTGGTTCATAATTATCCAATTTTAACACATGAAAAAGTGCACATGAAAAAGCGTACATTCCCTTGACTGCTCTCCACCACAACGTTTTCTTTAGTGACCATTTAAATATCAGAGCTTTAGCAAGGGTCAATCAGAACATTTAAACCAATCAGAACATCTGGACCAGAATAGTTGGTGACTGAAGATGACGGTTTTGCTTACATTCTGTCAAAATGTTGCTGATGCCGTCTGTCGACCGCACTTTGCGATGATGTCCGATCAGGGAGGAAGAGGAGTTGGAGGAGGAAGCGGAGTCTGATGTCCGCGGCGAAGACGAGTCCCAGGAGGGGAAGTGATGCGGTGGTGTGGGAACCATGATTCTAGTGAGGAAGAGGGACAGTGCTGTACCACAGAGAGTCAAGGCGATGGCGGCACACTTCCATAACTTCATCTTAGAATGAGCATTGACACTCTGAAAGACAAGGAAACACAAGGGAAGAGGTTAGGGGGGAATGTTTTTACTGCAACACCCACAATGATGAAAGCACAGGAGTGACAGGACAAATACTTCATGCAATAAATGGCAAATACAGCTGGCTTAGTTCCATAGTATTACTGCATGTACAGTACAGTGGGAAGGGCCTCTTGTTGGCACAGGGGCCTCCATTTCAACAGATCTCATTCTCAAAACGTTATCACAAGTGTTTTTGCCATCAACAAAATACTGTGTCCCTCTGCTGAGGCCATTCTGCAGTCGCTGTTTCACAGGTGTGGATTGTCAGATGTGCTATGTGTGGTTTTGCCCAGATACTCCATGTCAACACAAAGAGGTATTTCAATTCCGGTAACCCATGCATGAAGTCCCTGAACGCCTTTATTTATTGTTTTTATGTTTCAGTGTATAAAAAATGAGTAGAGAATAGCAGTCAGTGTACAGCTTGTGTAAACTCCCTCACAGAGCTAGCCTATTGTGAGCATGGATGGGATACTCCTCTGGCATAGCGTCAAGCCCCAGATGAAAAGTCTATTACTAGAGAAAATTACGCAATTGTTCCTTGAAAGAGCTGAGCGATAATGATCTTCCACGATCTTCTAGTTTGCTTTGCTCGAGGGATTGGCTGCATAGTAATGGTTTAAACTGAACTATTCAGCAAGATATTCTGTTTGATTACTTATCTACCCAATAGTGTTTTAATGGCTTCACAGTTTGATTAAGGTTCCCATTGTTGTGGGATCTCTCAGTGATGCCTCTGTGTGTAAGCAATATTGTCTCACCCACAGGAGGTTGATGGCACCTTAATAGGGGAGAACGGGCTCGTAGTAATGACTGGAGCGGAATGGTATCAAATACATGGTTTCCAGGTGATTGATGGCATTCCATTTGCTCCTTTCCAGCCATTATTATGAGCAGTTGTCCCCTCAGCAGCCTCCTGTGGACTCTAACCGTATTGCATATTATGTTCTGCGATATCTCTTTTAAAGGCCCAGTGCAGTCATAAACATGATTTTCCTGTGTTTTATATACAGTTGAAGTTGGAAGTTTAAATACACCTTAGACAAATACATTTTAACTCAGTTTTTCACAATTCCTGACATTTAATCCTAGTAAAAATTCCCCGTCTTAGGTCAGTTAGGATCACCACTTTATTTTAAGAATGTGAAATGTCTGAATAATAGTAGAGAGAATGATTTATTTATTTAAGCTTTTATTTCTTTCATCACAGTCAGAAGTTTACATACACTCAATTAGTATTTGGTAGCATTGCCTTTAAATTGTTTAACTTGGCTCAAATGTTTCGGGTAGCCTTCCATAAGCTTCCCACAATAAGTTGGGTGAATTTTGGCCCATTCCTCCTGACAGACCTGGTGTAACTGAGTCAGGTTTGTAGGCCTCCTTGCTCGCACACGCTTTTTCAGTTCTGCCCACACATTTTCTATAGGATTGAGGTCAGGGCTTTGTGATGGCCACTCCAATACCTTGACTTTGTTGTCCTTAAGCCATTTTGCCACAACTTTGGAAGTATGCTTGGGGTCATTGTCCATTTGGAAGACCCATTTGCGACGAAGCTTTAACTTCCTGACTGATGTCTTGAGATGTTGCTTCAATATATCCAAATAATTTTCCTTCCTCATGATGCCATCTATTTTGTGAAGTGCACCAGTCCCTCCTGCAGCAAAGCACCCCCACAGCATGACGCTGCCACCCCCGTGCTTCACGGTTGGGATGGTGTTCTTCGGCTTGCAAGCGCCCCCCTTTTTCCTCCAAACATAACGATGGTCATTATGGCCAAACAGTTCTATTTTTGTTTAGTCAGACCAGAGGACATTTCTCCAAAAAGTACGATCTTTGTCCCCATGTGCAGTTGCAAACCGTAGTCTGGCTTTTTTATGGCGGTTTTGGAACAGTGGCTTCTTCCTTGCTGAGCGGCCTTTCAGGTTATGTTGATATAGGACTTGTTTTACTGTGGATATAGATACTTTTGTACCTGTTTCCTCCAGCATCTTCACAAGGTCCTTTGCCGTTGTTCAGGGATTGATTTGCACTTTTCGCACCAAAGTACGTTCATCTCTAGGAGACAGAACGTGTCTCCTTCCTGAGCGGTATGACGGCTGCGTGCTCCCATGGTGTTTATACTTGCGCACTATTGTTTGTACAGATGAATGTGGTACCTTCAGGCGTTTGGAAATTGCTCCCAAGGATGAACCAGACTTGTGGAGGTTTACAAAAAAAAATTCTGAGGTCTTGGCTGATTTCGTTTGATTTTCCCATGATGTCAAGCAAAGAGGCACTGAGTTTGAAGATAGGCCTTGAAATACATCCACAGGTGCACCTCCGATTGACTGAAATTATGAAAATTAGCCTATCAGAAGCTTCTAAAGCCATGACATCATTTTCTGGAATTTTCTGACTTCAACTGTATATTTCTACACTGTGATGCTGGAATAATACTGTGAAATTGTAAAAATTATGATAATGACCTTTGAGTGTAAGAACGGTTTGAAAAGATCTCTTGAAATCTCAGCCTGTTTTGGTGGGATGGACTTTTGGCCTGCCTGGTGACATCACCAGGCGGTAAATTAGTTAATAGACCAATAAGGAAGAGAATCCCAAACCTCTCTGCCAATAACAACTAGTTTTCCCCTCCACTCAGACCACTCCCAGAGAGTTCTAGCTAAATTCTTGCTTGAGAAATTGCTCTTGCTCAGAAGCTATTTATGTTTCCTTTTGACCATTTTAAAAGGTGCAATATCCAGAAATCACTTCGCCATTTCCTGATTGCTAAAATTGGAATAGTTCGCCTTATTTCAGTTTAGAGCAGTAGAGGCTGCTGAAAGGAGGATGGCTCATAATAATGACTGGAATGGCGTAAATGGAATGGTATCAAACATGTGATTTTCATATGTTTGATACCATTCACTCCATTTCATCCATTATACTCCATTCCAGACATTTTTATGAGCCGTCCTCCCCTCAGCAGCCTCCATTGGTGTAGAGCACATATGTCAAACTCATTCCACGGAGGGCCGAGCGTCTGCGGGTTTTTGCTCCTTCCTTGTCTTTGATTGATGAATTAAGGTCACTGATTAGTAAGGAACTCCACTTACCTGGTTGTCTAGGTCTTAATTGAAAATAAAAAATGAAAACCAGCAGACACTAGGCCCATGGAATGAGTTTGACACCCCTGGTGTAGAGTCATTGTGTCACGTACGTTAAGAGAAGGGTCGGACCAAGGTGCAGCGTGAAAGGCGTACATGTTTATTTAACTAATAAACACACAACACAGTAACCAAAATAACAAACTTAACCGTGACGGTCCAAAGGGCTAACACACAAGCCTAAACAGGAACACAACAAGATCCCACAACACAGGCAGGAAAACTGGCTGCCTAAGTATGATCCCCAATCAGAGACAACGAGCGACAGCTGCCTCTGATTGGGAACCACACCCGGCCAAACATAGAAATACAAACCTAGAATATTCACACCCTGACCAAACTAGCTAGAGTTCTATAGGCCAGGGCGTGACACATTGTACCATCTAAACCTCTGTGAAATATATTTTCAATAACCAAAACTATTGTATTTTCAGAAGTTTGAAGCTAGTGTACAAAACCGAAAGTAAAAGACGCACAAAAACTATACTTAAAAACGGGAAACATAGAAAGAGTGCATATAGAACAGACCTACCGCTTCTGAGACTTGCTTTCAATAATAATTACATATCTATAACTCACATTTCTATGTGAATTTGGTCAGGTTGCCCAAAAAGTTACATATTGCAGCATTAATTGAAAACAATCACAGTAACATACTTAATTGTTACCAAGGAATGATTTGATATTGAGATAAAAATTGCTGTATTGGGCCTTTATGTGTTTGGTGTTGTGTTGCATGCTTCCATACTGTGATTTGTCTGTCTTGAATTATAACCTGTTCGGCTTTATAATAACATAAGCCAATATGTGCACAACAGAAAGCATTTGAAAACACCACTACTGTTCAGCAAGGCAGATATTTCACCATAGGCCTACCGCTAATCACATGGCCATGAATCTCAGCATTACATTTTCATACCTGGACTTGGACTCTAGCTAATTGTCAGTGTGGACAGCAGAGGAGTGTGGTGGGAGGAGCCATAAGAGGATGGGCTCATTTTAATAGCTGGAATAGAATAAATGGAACTGAGTCAAACATGTGTTTTCAATATTTTTGATGTGTTTGGTACCGTTCCATTTACTCCATTCCAGCCATTACAATGAGCCCGTCCTCCTATAGCTCCTCCCACCAGCCTCCTCTGGTGGACAGTAGGCGTGAACCTAAACAGAACAATCCTGTTACAGTGATGTTCCAGACACCAAAGACCCTTGACCTTTTCACTACTTTATGTTTGTTTGTCTGCTCACGCACCTGTGTTTGTAATTGTTTTTCCATGCAAACACATGTTATTGTACCACACTTTGCTTTTCACGTTCATTCCCACACTTTACCTATTAACAGTATCAGTTGATTCAGATCCCTCCCATGTTTGAAATGTGTTTTTGTTTGTGCGGGGCAGGGAAGATGGCGGGGTGCAAAACATTTATCCAGATCAGGAAATGGTTAACTGACAGTGGCTGAAGACATATCCAGATCAGCTCTGTCAAAGTGCTTTGCCAGACTGGGGGTACGGCCTTCATCAGGGCCTTTGTTTCTGGCCCTCTCTGTAGAGTGGCCGACTAGGAGGGAAAACGTGGTTGGAAGTGAAAAGATCTGCGCTACAGTTCTCCTGGCAATACTCACCGGTTGTTTGCCTTTTACTCAGAGACTCTACCCACTGGCATCAACGAACATCTTTGAAAAGTCACTAATGGTTTACTGTCTTGTAAATAGAAGCATCCTGTTGTGGAGTGTTTTTTTGGTAGAGTCAGATACTAACAGTCCCATAGATCATCTGCTGAGGACTTACACAGCACGCTCTAAAGGATTACTCACTAAGATGTACAGCACTGTACTGCCAGCTTGGCAATGCTGCATGTACTGTAATTGGCACATAAGGAAAGGTGTGTGCTCATAGAAAACAGGCATTCGAACAACATAAAGTGTTCCTATTCATTTTCATCCATACCACACTACTATATTGTAGGCCCCTACTATGCCGATTCACAATACCATGGTCCTAACTTCTGTATGTCCTCCCTATTTGAGCGGTAGGCATGTCAATTTCCAGCAGAATCATGATTAATTAAAATGGTATTCATTTGTTATTACATTACATTATAGCCACAGCTTTCTTTTGAAGTTGCTCATGGTTTTGTGTTTCTGTACAGCACTGACACACAGGAAATGGTGTGGTAAATCTAGCTAGACATCATAGCCTGAGTACCAGTCTCTTTAGCTAACATTCCACTCCTTGCCACTCCTTGTCATTGACAAATGTCAATTTGCCATTGCCTTGTCTTTGGCAATAACAAGGAGTGGCAAGGAGTGGAATGTTAGCTAAAGAGACTGGTACCCGGGCTAAGCTAGTCATATCCTCTGGTATAATGGCGCAATAGAGGCATTACCTCCATATTGTGTATGACCTACAGGTCTCAGTGGGAGAAAGGGTATAAATCCAGATACTGAATCACATCAGCTTTTGTGCAGCTTAAGTGCAGTGGTGTCGGCTATTCTGTGTGGTGCCAGTAGTTAGTAAGAGCGCTAATGGTTTACTTGCCTAAAGCTAAGCCACTGATTGTGTATAATTTATCAATTATAAGACCCCCCCCACCCATAGGCTGCTAAGGGGAGGACATATATATGTATATATACAAAAGTATGTGGACACCCCTTCAAATTAGTGGATTTGGCTATTTCAGCCACACCCGTTGCTGACAGGTATATAAAATCGAGCACACAGCCATGCAATCTCCATAGCCAAACATTGACAGTAGAATGGCCTTACTGAAGAGCTCAGTGACTTTCAACGTACCACCATCATAGGATGCCACCTTTCCAACAAGTCAGTTCGTCAAATTTCTGCCCTGCTAGAGCTACCCCGGTCAACTGTAAGTGATGTTATAGTGAAGTTGAAACGTCTAGGAGCAACAACGGCTCAGCCGCGAAGTGGTAGGCCACACAAGCTCACAGAATGGGACCGCTGCGTGTTGTAGCGCATAAAATCGTCTGTCCTCGGTTGCAACACTCATTACCAAACTGCCTCTGGAAGCAACGTCAGCACAAGAACTGTTCGTCTGGAGCGTCATGAAATGGATTTCCATGGCCGAGCAGCCGCACACAAGCCTAAGGTCACCATGCGCAATGCCAAGTGTCGGCTGGAGTGGTGTTAAGCTCGCCGCCATTGGTCTCTGGAGCAGTGGAAACGCATTCTCTGGAGTGATGAATCCCACTTCACCATCTGGCAGCCCGACGGACGAATCTGGGTTGCATATTGCCAACTGGATTGCAATGCATTTTGCCAACTGTAAAGTTTAGTGTAGGAGGAATAATGATCTGGGACTGTTTTTCATGGTTCGGGCTAGACTCCTTAGTTCCAGTGATGGGAAATCTTATAGCATTCAATGACATTCTACATGATTCTGTGCTTCCAACAGTTTGGGGAAGGCCCTTTCCTATTTCAGCATGACAATGCCCGTCGTGCAAAAAGCGAGGTCCATACAGAAATGGTTTGTCGAGATCGGTGTGGAAGAACTTGACTGGCCTGCACAGAGCCCTGACCTCAACCCCATAGAATACCTTTGGGATTAATTGGAACGCCGACTGCGAGCCAGGCCTAATCGCCCAACATCAGTGTCTGACCTCACTAATGCTCTTGTGGCTGAATGGAAGCAAGTCCCCGCAGCAATGTTCCAACATCTAGTGGAAAGCCTTCCCAGAAGAATGGAGGCTGTTATAGTAGCAAAGGGGGGACCAACTTCATAGGGGTGTACTCACTTTTGTTGCCAGCGGTTTAGACATTAATGGCTGTGTGTTGTGTTATTTTGAAGGGACAGTCACTACTTTACATTGTAGCAAAGTGTCATTTCTTCAGCATTGTCACATGAAAAGATATACTCAAATATTTACAAAAATGTGAGAGGTGTACTCACTTTTGTGAGATACTATATATATATTAGTACCAGTCAAAGGTTTGGACACACCTACTCATTCAAGGGTTTTTCTTTATTTTTACTATTTTCTACATTGTAGAATAATAGTGAAGACATCAAAACTATGAAATAACACATATGGAATCATGTAGTAACTAGAAAAGTGTTAAACAAATCAAAATATATTTTATATTTGAGATTCTTCAAATAGCCACCCTTTCCCTTGATGACAGCTTTGCACACTCTTGGCATTCTCTCAACCAGCTTCACCTGGAATGCTTTTCCAACATTCTTCAAGGAGTTCCCACATATGCTGAGCACTTGTTGGCTGCTTTTCCTTCACTCTGCGGGCTGACTCTTCCCAAACCATCTCAATTTGGTTGAGGTTGGGGGATTGTGGAGGCCAGGTCATCTGATGCAGCACTCCATCACTCTCCTTCTTGGTCAAATAGCCCTTACACAGCCTGGTATGTTTTGGGTCATTGTCCTGTTGAAAAACAAATGATAGTCCCACTAAGCGCAAACTAGATGCGATGGCGTATCACTGCAGAATGCTGTGGTAGCCATGCTGGTTAAGTGTGCCTTGAATTCTAAATAAATCACAGTCAGTGTCTCCAGCAAAGCACCCCCACATCATCACACCTCCTCCTCCATGCTTCACGGTGGGGATCACACATGCAGAGATCATCCGTTCACCTAATCTGCGTCTCACAAAGAAACGGCGGTTGGAACCAGAAATCTCACATTTTGACTCATCAGACCAAAGGACAGATTTCCACCGGTCTAATGTCCGTTGCTCGTGTTTCTTGACACAAGCAAGTCTCTTCTTCTTGTTGGTGTCCTTTAGTAGTGGTTTCTTTGCAGCAATTCGACCATGAAGGCCTGATTCACGCAGTCTCTTCTGAACAGTTGATGTTGAGATGTGTCTGTTACTTGAACTCTGTGAAGCATTTATTTGGGCTGCAATCTGAGGTGCAGTTAACTCTAATGAACTTATCCTCTGCAGCAGACGTAACTCTGGGTCTTCCTTTCCTGTGGCGGTCCTCATGAGAGCCAGTTTCATCATAGCGCTTGATGGTTTTTGCGATTGCACTTGGAAGAAACCTTCAAAGTTCTTGAAATCTTCCGGATTGACTGACCTTCATGTCTTAAAGTAAAGATGGACTGCAATTTCTCTTTGCTTATTTGAGCTGTTCTTGACATAATATGGACTTGGTCTTTTACCAAATAGAGCTATCTTCTGTATACCACCCCTACCTTGTCACAACACAACTGACTGGCTCAAATGCATTAAGAAGGAAAGAAATTCCACAAATTAACTTTTAAGAAGGCACACCTGTTAATTGAAATGCATTCCAGGTGACTACCTCATGAAGCTGGTTGAGAGAATGCCAAGAGTGTGCAAAGCTGTCATCAAGGCAAAGGGTGGCTACTTTGAAGAATCTCAAAAATAATATATTTTGATTTGTTTAACACTTTTTTGGTTACTACATGATTCCATGTGTGTTATTTCATAGTTTTGATGTCTTCACTATTTTTCTGCAATGTAGAAAATAGTAAAAATAAAGACAAACCCTTAAATGAGTATGTGTTCTAAAACTTTTGACTGGTACTGTATGTATGTATATATATATATATATATATATATATATATATATATATATATATATATATATATACAGTTGAAGTCGGAAGTTTACATACACCTTAGCCAAATACATTTAAACTCAGTTTTTCACAATTCCTGACATTTAATCCTAGTAAAAAATCTGTCTTATGTCAGTTAGGATCACCACTTTATTTTAAGAATGTGAAATGTCCGAATAATAGTAGCGAGAATGATATATTTCAGCTTTTATTTCTTTCATCACATTCCCAGTGGGTCAGAAGTTTACATACACTCAATTAGTATTTGGTAGCATTGCCTTTAAATTGTTTAACTTGGGTCAAACATTTCGGGTATGCTTCCACAAGCTTCCCACAATAAGTTGGGTGAATTTTGGCCCATTCCTCCTGACTGAGATGGTGTAGCTGAGTCAGGTTTGTAGGCCTCCTTGCTCGCACACGCTTTTTCAGTTCTGCCCACACATTTTCTATAGGATTGAGGTCAGGGCTTTGTGATGGCCACTCCAATACCTTGACTTTGTTGTCCTTAAGCCATTTTGCCACAACTTTGGAAGTATGTTTGGGGTCATTGTCCATTTGGAAGACCCATTTGCGACGAAGCTTTAACTTCCTGACTGATGTCTTGAGATGTTGCTTCAATATATCCACATAATTTTCCTTCCTCATGATGCCATCTATTTTGTGAAGTGCACCAGTCCCTCCTGCAGCAAAGCACCCCCACAGCATGATGCTGCCACCCCCGTGCTTCACGGTTGGGATGGTGTTCTTCGGTTTGCAAGCGTCCCCCTTTTTCCTCCAAATATAACGATGGTCATTATGGCCAAACAGTTCTATTTTTGTTTCATCAGACCAGAGGACATTTCTCCAAAAAGTACGATCTTTGTCCCCATGTGCAGTTGCAAACCGTAGTCGGTCTTTTTTATGGCGGTTTTGGAACAGTGGCTTCTTCCTTGCTGAGCGGCCTTTCAGGTTATGTTGATATAGGACTCGTTTTACTGTGGATATAGATACTTTTGTACCTG